TCTCTTTCCTGCCATCTACTGGTCACTGGGATTCTTACAGCTCAGACCTGATTTCTCTAATTTTATCCAAAGACAGGTGTTTTTTATTATCATGTATAATTATTTCAAAGTAAATATATTACCAAGATTTATGAAAACTAGATTTTACTTGAATATTAAAAATTGCTGAATAGAAATGTAATGGAAGCAGTGTAAGGGCCATTTAGTTTTGAATCAATCAAATGCAAGACAATTATTTGTGTCTGGGAAAAAGGATATATTTATTTGATATAAATTTAACCAAATTAATCTGAACTTTAAACCAGAACACAGTAGTCCTTGATTTCCAATTTTTTAGAATGTATATACTATTAAATGTACTCTCCAGAGAATTATATAAAAAGGGCATTTCAAGGAAAAGTACTTGCCAAATAATGCAAATATTGAGGAATACCAAAATATTTGAATTGACTTCTTAAGCAATTCAGACACTGAATAAGACGCAACAGATGCTTATTACAGAATACTGAATATTGTACATATTTTTCATGCTAGCCTATTCAGTAGGCATCAGCAGCTAGAACTTTGCACAGCCATGCTATTTAAAAATATTCATCAGCACACATTTTCCTGGGTAAAAAAGCTTCACCAAGAAAAGCATTTTTTTCTCTAAACTAGTTAAAGGCAGGAACACTTCCTTCTTTCATACTGTGTTAGTACATAGCAGATTTCTGTAAAGAAGTTCAGTATTTGTGACATACTCAAATTATAGCTGTCTACATAAACAACAGAGATCAATTATATTTGAAATTACATCCAGACAAAAGGAAACTGGAAATAGTTTCTTACTGAACATTCAATCTCAACAATCCGTAAACATTTGAACAGCTACTGTACTGCATTGCCCATGACTTCATTGAAGTGTGTTTCCTATATTCCGTTCCTGAAAATGAAAACTATTGGTCGGTTCATTGTATTTATGGGGTCTATTTATTAGAACTGCAAATATTGAATTAATTAAAACTAACAATATGAAGCTAAACTTTAAATCTGGGGGTTATGCTTTGTTTAATAATATGTTAGCTAAGCAAATGATGACCGTTAACTAGTTTTTTTCCCAGAAATGGAGATGGGAAAGCTAACAAACTATTTCTTTTCTCAAATGACATGCTACCAAGTTCTACTGCTCATATATTTCCATAATATTCTTCTGGGATTGACAATTCTGGGCACCACCAAAGGGCTAACTTTGATGAAGATTGCCACCGCTCTCCCTCAATACATTTGTCCTTTTTTCTACCAGTAATTATCACATTATAACATTGGGAATTTGTTGTGAATTAACAGTATATCTCCTTAATATATTAATAATTTATCACTTTTGCTTCTACCAAAAAAATGTCAACTCCATTTTTTTTCCTTTCGAAAGTATGCAGATAATATTTGTACGCTACTTTACTGAATTTAAATAGCAAGTGAGAATTCAGGAGCCAAAAAAACATATCCACTCCCATGAGAAATTCTCTCAAATGTTAGTAAGCTGTAATATCTTGCCCACTGCAAGGACCCCCTCTCCAAAACTAGTCATTTCAACTAATCATTTCCCTCCATTAGGTAACATCTGCACCAAGATACATTAGTAAAACATGAGTATAGCCGTACCTTTCTTTTTTAAAAAAAAAACCCACCAAAACTATACTGTTGGGAACTGTTATACAGTATTTGTTTCTCCTAATTTGTACTTTCTCAAAGCTATCAGATATAGATGCTTAACGTGAATTAACTGACTATGGCTATGAACGCTGGTAGATTTCCGAGAAGGAAAGAAAATCTCCCTTGGTATAATGTGGAAGCAATATAGAAAGAAGTCAACTTTGCACTGCAATACAGCTAGACCTGTAAATATCCAGTTACTCCTCAATCCAACCTTAGCCAACATGACACCCTCCAGATGTGTTGGACTACCGTGTGAGAGCGTGATAGACTCGAAGAGCATCACGTTCAGAAAGGCTGCATTAGTCAAGCAAAACTGCTCAAGTGCCTGGATCACTCAAGGGCCTCTCAAAAATACCAGAGGAAATGACACAGCTGTGCTTGAAACCAGCTGTCTAGCGAGTTATGTATAGCAACTGGGACAAAGACAGGAAAGGAGCAAAGGATCTGGGGACCCTTCTTCAACCTAACACTGCCCAAGCCGCTCTTCATCTGAGAACACCAAGAAGAAAGAGGAAGCAGTGGGAAACTGAAAATCCGCGGAACACCCCCCCCCCCAGCATCAATAGGAAGGGGGGAAAGTGACGGCATAGTAGCCAACTACAGGTAGTCCTTGACTTACAATCGTTCACTTGGTGGCCGTTCAAAGGCTACAATGGTACTGGAAAAAAAGTGACTTGTGGCCATTTTTCACACTTACGACCATAGCAACATCCATCAAGGTCACGTGATCAAAATCCGGACGCTTGTCAACTGGTTCATATTATGACGTTGTCCTGGGGTCATGTGATCCCCTTTTGCGACCTTCTGAGAAGTCAAATCAATGGGGAAGCCAGATTCACTTAACAACCCTGTTGCTAACTTTTAACAACTGCAGAAATCCACTTAACCACCACTCAAATGGGGCAAAACCCATTTCAGCAAGGAACCCCAATGGGCTCAGTTGTGGTCGTTAAGTCGAGGACTACCTGTAGAGATTATCCCGCTGGCTCTCTGCAGGTTTGGGGAGGCAGGAAACGGAGGAAACCGCAAGGGTCTTGAGCAGCTAAATTGCTCGGCTCTTTCCACTTCCCTCCTCCTCTCCTCCGCCGGCCTCACGTTACCTCTCGGCGAGGCAGAGTCTGTGTCTTTCCGCATTTCCTCTACGCCGAAAGCAAAGTTGGCCGGAGTTGGCCGGGCGGGGGCGGGCGATGCCCCCGACCACAAAGCCCCCCCTCCCCAAACCCCGGAGCCTGCTCACCTTCCATCCGGCGGAGCTGTTGCTGTCCCCCTTGTCCTTGAAGTACGGCACGTTCTTGACCATCCACTCGTAGATCTGGGAGAGAGTGAGCCGCTTCTCCGGGGCGCTTTCGATCGCCTTCGTGATGAGGTCCGCGTAGGACAAGTTGCCCCAAGCGTTGCGGCGGGAAGAGCTGCTCTTGCGAGGGCCCGTCACCGAGGCCAAGGCGGCGGGCCCTGCATGCTGCTGTTGCTGCTGCTGCTGCGGGTGCTGAAGGCACGGGAACTCCCCGCAAAGGCAACCGCCTGAAACTCCGAGGTCTCCGGCTCCGGAGCTGCCCGCCTCGAAGCCTTCGCCTCCGCCCGCTTCCAGCAAACTCAGCAGGTCACCGCCGGCGGAGGAAGAGGAGGAGGCGCCGAGGGCCGTGACCAGCCCGCAGCGGGACGGAGACGCGGCCCTCGCCGGAGTTGCAGTGGGCGTCTGTCCCGGACTAGACGGGGCGAGCTCCGGACGGGGCAGAGGCCAAGTGCAGGACCTCGGCCGAGCTAGAGGCTGGAAATCGGGGTCGGTCTCCACGGGGTGAGGCGCCTCGGCCATGGCGAAGGAGGAGAGGGGCTGGGGGGGGGGGAGAGAAAAACGAGGTTTCTTGAGCCGGGCGGGCGGCTTCCTCGTCTGGCAGCGGCCTCCTGTTGAGCGCCAGACGCCACTTGACAAACTCCAACTCCGTCCCGCGGCGGCCGCTCGTTCGCTGGCTGGCTGGGCGACAGGCGGGCAGGGCTCGCAGTTAGCTCGACGTCCTGGCTGGGGAACGAGCGTCAGCCCCGCCCACTCCGCCCGGGCCTAAGGGACGAGCGCGAGGGGGCGGCCCAAAGAGCCGAAAGAAACGCCCCTAAGGCTTTGCCCGCCTGGGTGGAGGGAGGCGGGTGCGGTCTCCTCTGCCCTGGGGAGGGAAGCGCGTCGGGGCATTTTCCCCCGCCCTACACACACAGACACACACGCACGAACTATCGCAGTCCACCCCCACAACGCAGCTGGACTTTCGCAGTCCAAGCCCACCCCCCACTACACACAGCTGGACTTTCGCAGTCCAAGCCCCCCCCACTACACACAGCTGGACTTTCGCAGTCCAAGCCCCCCCCACTACACACAGCTGG